GCCTAGGAGGGAAGCCTGGGGGCACCTGGGGCCTCCCTGGATGCCTCTGAAACCACTGGGGTTCAATGAATCTGATCAAGCCCGACAGCAGGTGGGGATGAGTAGATGAGACCCCAGAGTCGTCTTCTTCCTGTGTCCACTGTGTCCCTCTGAGGCCAAGTAGCTCAGTTCTCTCTCCTGTGACCCCGCACATCCTTGGTCCTGGTAAGGGATGAAGGTCACGGAGAGAGAAATCAATAAAGAGCAAATAATCGGATTATGAGAGTAAATGTCTTCTGTCGTCTTGTCCTAAACTCCCTGGCCAGCCTTGGCTTCCCCCATCCATCTCCCAGGGCCTCTTCCTCCCTGGTGCTTTCCCGGGAGGCTCTGCGTACCTGGAACTCGGGGCAAAAGGTGTCCTGGGAGCGGGCTGGGCTGGAGGCTTGGGGAGAGACCCTGCCTTCACCCTGAAGGAGCCAGCGCACGGCAGGGGTTTCTGCTCTTCTCCAGAAGCCTCCACTTTAACCACAGGAGGTTCAGTGGCAGTGAGTCCATCCAGGCTGCTCCGCCACCATTGCCGCCATCTTTCCACACTGCAGCTCCTAATCTCCCCTCTGCCCAGCCCCAGGCCACCCCCATTCTACCTCCTGTTTCAGTGCATCTGATGACTCCAGGTGCCTCGTGTAAGTGGGACTGTACAGTATCTGTCCTTTTGCGTCTGGCTTATTTCATCCATGTTGTACCAGAATTTTCCTTCCTAAAAGGCTGTGTAGTATTCCACGGTGTGCACAGTCCACGTTTTGTGTATCTATTCATCTGAGCGTGGGTGGCTTCCCTTTCCCACACTTGACCTGGGTTGTTGCTCTCTGTTTGGATGGAGTTTATGTGATTTTTTGTGAGCCCCCTTTCCCCATGAGATTGGGGAAGAACATATCCAAACATAGCAGGCATCGCTGCCTATAAAAACAAGCAACAAATAAACACGCTATTGTATTAAGTAACTGATGCATCTTATGGTTGGAAATTTGGGAAGTGTGGAAATTTGGGAAGTGTGGAAGTGTCAAAGACAAGTAAAATGGCTTCTAATCCCTGAGCTAGCAGGTGATCTATACGTACCTGGAGGAAACGGCTACAAGAGGAAAGGGCAGGACAGCAAGGAGAGCTTTCCCTAGAAAGAGCCCGGTTATGCTGCTTTCTTTGCAGAGGGTTTTCTTGGAGGAAGGGGGACAGTCCCCTGTGAGGGCTAGAGACCCTGGACCAAGCGGCTCTGCTCACCAGGGTCAGGGAAGCTGCCGATCCCAGGTGGGTGGGCGCTGCACAAACCTTAGTGGCACTCAGGGGACCGTTAGTTGGTGAGTACATGAAGCTGCGCTCCCTTGGGAGCTCCTGAGGGGTCTGAGCCTGGGGCTGTTGTGGGAGCCGCTTCCCAGAACCCCTGTCCCTCCCATGTGGGGACCCCTCTGGGAGAGCTCTCCAGAGCAGCCACCTCTGGGAAGCATTGGGGGTCAGGCAGGACCCAGTCACCTCTAAGAGAGGTAGAATGAAGCAGGAAGGCCCAGGGCAGCAGTGGGGGAGTGTGGCACCAGGGGAGTAAGGGTGGCTGGTGGTAAGGGGCAGCATTCTCTCGAGGGGACAGGGGACAAACGTGAATCTCACTTTCTAGTGAGTCTCTGGGTTGGAACCTCCTGGGGAGAATGATGTGGGGAGGCCTTTTGCCCCAAAACGCACCCTGGAAGAGCCTGTTGCAATAAATAAGTCTCAGAAGTTGCAGGAAACTGACGCTCTCCTCAAACCCTTCCCACACCCTCTCTTCCCCAGTTGGCACCAACTGTCTCTGCATGGTGCCCCTGGGCCCTGGTGCTCTGACAAGCCCAGCAGCAGCGTGCCCAGCCCAGCCACTGCAGGGCCGGGAGCTTCCAGGAGCACAGCCATCCTGCTCGTTCCCTGCCCCTGTCCTGGAGACAGGCAGGGCGGGAGAAGGATAAGCCAGAAGCCCAGCAGAGCCTAGCGACTTGGCCAGGACCCAGAGCCACATTTGCAAGCTCCAGGCCAGTTCTCCTTTCCTGCCAAGAGGGCAGAAGGGAGCAGTGTGACAGGTTTGGGAGAAGCAGGAGGTCATGGGTGATGTCTGGACTCACTGCTGAGATGCGGGGACAAGGAGGGCTGAGAAGGAGAATGTGGCTTCGTGCCTCCAGTAACGGTTATTCTAACTCCCTCATGCACGCGGTGGCTTACATTTTCAAAGCACTCTCTTATCCTTGTTCTTGTTTGTCTGTTTGTTTTTAGAAATTTTGTTTAAAATACACTTAACATAAAACTTACCATTACACCCATCACCACTATCTAGTTCTAAAACATTCTCACCATCCCCAAAGGAGCCCTGCTCCCACAGCTTGTGCTGAAAGCCAGTGCTATGTCTGCACCGTGTATGCAGAGGGTACCCAAGCAGAGGGCATCTTCTCTCCCAATAAAAACAGCTCTTTTAAAAAAAATACTAATTTGGATGGGTCAACTTTTGAAAGGTAATACTTAATATGTTACCTTAGTGACAAGTTTTAAACCACATAGGACATACAATAATATATAGACTTAAAATACTGCATCCCCCAACTCTCGCTGCCACAACAAGTCGAGCAGTTCACCGTTCTTGATGCTGCCTCCATCTCATCGCTGTGTTCTGCACACACCACCGTCCTCATGGCTGTTCTTATTAATCCAGAAGGTATGTTTTAACGACGGCGTTTTCAAGGTACACTTCACATAGCACAGAAGTCCCCCTTTAGAAATTCTCCCAGAATTGTGTAGCCATTACCACCGTGTATTTCCAGAACTTTTTGGTTACCCCAAAAGGAACCCCCCAGTGGTGTTTAAGCAATCCCTCGCCACCTCCCTCCCCAGATCCACTTCCCGGTCGTCCTTCTGTCTCTGTGGAGTTTCCT